CAAAACCAGCGCGATATCGTCTGATGTCGTAATTTGCTCGGAATCTGATTTGTTTTTTGAATCGAATCCATCTGTGACCAACAGCCAATGACCGTTGTCCCATTACTGCTAGCACATCGGATTCTAATCACCTGTACGTTTATGTGCTCCATCTCGAACTCTGGCAATTCGAAGAATAAGATAAAACGATTACGCATGTCGAACGTCATGACATAAGGCATGAAGTCTTCATAAATACGTTCGTCCCTGGTTGAGAGTTGTGACGAACTCAGATCTTCGACCATGGCTCTGATACCAGATGTTAGAAACAAAGTTTCTAACGGGTTTCTAGATCAGATCTAGAGATCGGGGATTTAGGGTTTATAGAACAGAATTGGGGATTTAAGGATTTGAGAAGAGAAATTAGGGATTAGGAGAAGAATTGGGGATTTGGGGAAGAACGGCCGAGGCCTTTGAGGAAGAAGGACTGACGAGGTTGAGAGAGATCAGAATAGGGTTTTGGGGGATAATTGTTTTATTAGTTTCTGCTTAATTGTACAAATGACCCAAAGTGCATATTTATAGCTAGAAACTGGAATAAACCTAATAAATAACCTAATACGACTTGAATACTACTAACCCTAAGAATAATTATCCTACCATAATTAATAATGATAAACACGAAAAATCGTGTTTCTAACATGATACTATGGTTGCTTATGTCGATGCTGACTATGCTGGCTGTCTAGACACTCGTCGTTCGACCTCGGATGTTACACCCCAACATTTAGGTCTAGATTCGACTATATGGTTCCATTGACGGTTACGTACGAAGGGTTCAACCATAGATTATATATAATAATAATAATTTTTATTATTATTGTCATCGTCATAAACACCATCACCCGCTCATTTCCCCTTCATCAATAACAACACATTTTTGTTATTATAATAATCATCATCCCCATCATCCACACGTTACCAAACAAAAAGGAAGAAGAAAACTAAATAAATAAAACCCCAAAAACTCACCTCCCATTAAACCCCTCTCCTTCTGTCTCTCTAGTTTCCTTTCGTTACCTTCCTTTCATTTTTATTGCCTACGTAACCGAGAGGAGCAGCGGTAGTCCACTCCTCGTCACCACCTACCTCCTCATTCCCCCGACCGAAATCAACGTCAAGTGCAAGTCTCTTCCCCGGACCGAAGCTCGACATCCCTACTCTAAAAAGCCAACCACCGCAGCGGAAGTAACAACCACCGGACGAGCAACTCAGCACGTAGTAGGCCATTTCCCCTCGCGCAAGGACTTGACTAAACGCCCATTTTCACACGATAGGGGTAAGGTTCTCAGCTTCCGTCTGTCCATAAGATTAAGATCATTTTTTTAATCCCCGACTAACACGACAATGGACGTGACGATCGTAGTTCGGACGGCGCCACCGGCGTAACCGAGCTCGAAAGTTTGGGATGCAAATCGAATAGTTCAGTGGGTATTTTTAAAAGATGATAATTTTTATGAGATTTATGCAAAGGATTATTTAATTAGTTAGGATGAGTTAATGCATTTTTAAGAATTATGGGACTAAGCGAGGAGTACGGAAAATTTGGCGGAATAGCGACTAAGGGAAATTTAATCTCGAATTATAGGTTCAAGGAGGCGATCAAATTAAGGGACCACACGTCAAGGGAAGTAAAGTATCGACACTTGAGAGGTGAGTGTAAAGGGGGTAAAATCTCCGTCGAGGTCTTTCAGTTTATGCCTTTTTAATTCAGTTATGTTATTTAATTTTCAAGTAAGCGCGATTGTGTGTGTGAGGCATCCCACCGCCTACTTAAGGTGGAGGCACGCGTTGTGCTATGTATGTGTGTGTTTATGATGTGTGGTTGATGGTAAGATGAACCCCCGGGCGGTTGGGCCACTACTGGACGCGGTAGATGTCGGGTCACTACTGGACGGCGATACGTAACGCAGTAGTTGACCGGGCATGGACTGGACGGCGATACGTAACGCAGTACCATTGCCTTGAGGATAGGGACACCGGACGGCGATACGTAACGCGGTGAACCCTAGTAATAAGTATATAAATTAAGATAGAAGTACAGAACTTCTATAAGCTAACAGGGACTAAAATATTAAGGATGAAAGCGAGAACGGTTTTCATGTAAGAGGAAGTAATTTTCTAATAATGTGTTAGTAGGGTTTGCTTAGGCAAAGACCTTAGAAAGTAACGACGAGACTGACCCCTTCTCACTCACCAGGTGTGGAAAGGGGAAGAGGACATAACCAGCACCAGGAGGTTAATCAAGGAGGGCAGCCGCGTCAAGCTTGAAGATGTCGGAAGGATCAGGGTATTGAGATGGGACCCTTTTTATCATATTTGTCTTTATTTCTTGTCCTATGAGTATACTGGGAAACTCAGGTTTTCTGTTCAAATGTTTGGATTGAGATTTGCCCAACTGTTTAGGGCTTTTCGTTGAGATTTTTGGTTATTGTCGTTGGTTAATTTTTGGTTTGACTTAAAAACATGGTTTGGGTTGCTCCGGAGTAACTGGTTTTTGTTTTAAAATTTTGGTTTGATTTTTTTTTTCCAAAAGATCGGGTTGTTTCAGGCTGGTGTGTGAAGATTGGCCATTCATTTGTCTCTTGGCATTGTAAAAAGCAGGATAGGGTGTCCAAGTCCTCCATGGAAGCCGAGTATCGCTCAATGAGTGAAGTCACCTCTGAGGTAGTCTGGTTACAGCGACTGCTTGCTGAGCTAGGCGTCTCCTACGCGGTTCCGATTTGTCTGTTTGCAGATAACACGAGTGCCATCAAGATTGCCACTAACCCGGTGCTACATGATCGCACAAAACATATTGAGGTGCATGTCCATTATATTCGGCAACTTGTTACAGATGGTATCATTGATCTACATATATACCAACTGAAGAGCAGCCGGCGGATCTTCTCACGAAGGCGGTAGCTTCTGCTCGCCACTGGTTTCTAGCACACAAATTGATGCTGCGTCAGCACCATCAATTTGAGGGAGGGTGTTAGAAACTAGAAGTTTTGGAGTTGTTTTGTAATTGTTCATGTATATATTTAGTGTAGCATGTGGAGTAGGGTTGCCGCAGCCGAACATATATATAGTCCTTTAGGGACTTATTGTAGGTATCTTGAATCTTCTGCTGAATAAGATAACCTAACGCCTTGTGCCGTGGACTAGTCTCAACGATCATCGTTGGGGAAACCACGTAAATCCCGTGTTCATTGCTTGGTTAGATTATCGATTTCTTGGAGTTTCACATGCTGATCCCATAGGTTAGCTTCGTCCTAACCTCGTTTGTAGTTGCATGTGGGTTGCCTTCTCCCTCTATATATCTTGCGGTGAGAATTCTAGCAACCAGGCGTCATGCTCTCCCAAGGGTAGATTTCTGTTAATGTCATTGCCCACAATTGGTGAGTTGTTTTTGAAAGGACAGAGAGGGAAAAGGATTGATGGTGGAGGGAATATTGTTAGAGGTCGAGATCAGAGTTGGGGAAGCCAAAAGGAAATTCTTGTTTGCTGGATTTATTTGGTGATGATTTGGATTTGTTATAAACTTATGTGAGGTCGAGCTCATGACCTGATGACCAACCTACTCATTCTATTTGTTTTCTCTTCTTATACCAATGAAGATAATAAGATCAATTTCACTTCTTGTATACAGATCTAATTAATAAAATCCGTTATGAAATTTATGAAACAAACAAGGGTATTTTTCAAGACCATAATAAATTCAAAACCCTAATATTTCCATGATTTTCGAAACTTAAAATAGTTTTACCAAAACCGTCATTTTTTTAAATCTATGATGCATAGGCGTAAGAAACAGTGTTTTCAGCTTTCCATCTTTTCCATCTTTTATAATTGGATAAGGAGAAGAGCGTCGATTGGTTTGGACATCTTGCCCCGCGACTGGAAAGTTGGAATGACAATCTAGAGTTTATATCAAATAATTACGGTTCCAAAATAATAAACTTATTAGAGTCTATTTTAAACAACCATAAGAATCGAAATCTCCCGATTCATTAGATCACCAGATTCAAATTCCAATTCTCTAAACTAGCTACCTTAATTGAAGTAAATCTAAATATCACAGGCCTATTCACAAACGTCCGTAGTAATGTGAAACTCGAAGAAGTAGGGCATAATACTACTATCAGAAGAAAGAAGGCCCGGATTGAGTCCTAGGGTTAGATATACGATTAAGTTCGTAATTCCCATTTGTTAGGAACTAGGAATGAATGTCAGCTGTGCACATGCCATGATGTTTGTATTCAACCTTCACATCTCATCTCAGACACGTTATTTTGGTGGTGTGAAAACTTATTGAAATATGTCCTTGTCTACTATCCAGGACTTCCGTATCTCCAAATTTTAACACAATTTTTCAAATTTTGAACGGTTTCGGAAGAAGTTCAATTATAGATTATATGTCGCTTATTAACACATTTCTCAAACGATAGGTAGCATATATGAGGTTGAAGTTTGCACAAGTTCAAATACCACGTGCTTAACAAATTGGATCACTGGAATTCGAATAGAAGACCTCTCCATCACCGAAGGCTCCGATATCATGTCAATTATAGATTATATACCACTTACCAACACACCCCTCAAACGAAAGCCACCATATAATATATATACAACTTACCATAACAAATGGGCTCACAGGGATTCGAATAGAAGACCTCTCGATCACCGAAAAACTCTGATATCATGTTAATAACCGGTTGATTTCAACAACTCAAGTTATACAATAATACGATTGAAATGTGTACCATTTGTGGGTGGTGGTACATATCTACTAATTGCCGACCTTTAAAACAAACATTTCGTGTTGGGAAAGGCCAAATGAATGATGTATTTCTCTTCGTGAAAGAAACCTGTAGTTCAACCCTTAGAACCATTTGTGTGAACAGAATCCATGCACTGAAATTTACGAGGATTATCGTCTCTCTATAAATAGGCCACTTCAAAAATTGGAAAATCATCCCAATAACAAAATGGATTTGGCAGACGTACTCACCACCATTCCCTTGCCCGCCACAATCGTCCTAGCTTTAGCATCCCTCGCCTTCCTCTGCTTCTTCGTAATAACCACCACCAAGTCCAATAAAGATGGAGCATCGCCGCCGCCGCCGCCGCCACAGGCCAGCGGCTCATGGCCCATCATCGGCCACCTCCACCTCCTCGGTGGGCCGCGCCCGCCACACCGCGTATTGGGCCAGATGGCCGACCAGCATGGCCCAATCTTCACGATCCGGATGGGAGTCCACCCGGCCCTGGTGGTCAGCAGCTGGGAGATCGCCAAGGAGTGTCTGACCACCCACGACCGGATTTTTGCTGACCGGCCGGCCACCCTGGCCATGGACATTCTCGGCTACCACCGGTCCATGTTCGGGTTTAGCCCGTACGGTTCGTTCTGGCGCGAGACTCGGAAGATGGCCACGCTGGAGCTCCTCTCCTCGCACCGCCTCGATTTGCTCCAACACGTGCGGGAGAAAGAGGTGCAGACCGCCACCAAAGAGCTGTACGCCTATTGGCAAGCCGCCAACAAGGAGCAAGGACAGTCGCATAGTGAAAACTTGAAATTAGGTGTGTTTTTAACAGAAATATATATATATATATATATATATATATATATATATATATATATATATATATATTAATAAGTAATTAACATATATATAATAATAATTGATTTTTTTTCAAAGTAGCAAAGATATCCTTATGTCATGAATTTTCTCAATGACACAGTAAAACACTCTAATATGGTTTGCTTGAATTCTCAAAATTGGGGGAGGGGTTTAAACATTTATCGGCTATTCTAATTCCTAAAATTGTTTAAAATTTATATGTTTTTTTATAACAGTGATATGTTTAGTTGTTGTGGTTAGATATGGGTGTGCAACACGTTGGTCTATACCAGACCTTTTTGGACCAAACCGATGATTCAACCAGCGCACCTAATCGAATATAACATGGTCCTATCTTTGATTTCTTGAATTTTATAAATACTAAAAATGGACCGAATTAATATTTGGACTTGAGTAAAGCAGACTGACTGCTTTGTTGGTCCAATCCTTGGTCCATAAATGTCTCTTACTATTGGACCGTGGTTCTCCTTAATTTGGTCCGATCTGATCTAAATCAAACTGTTGCACACCCCTACGCTTAGATACTACTTAAGAAATTGAAACCTAAAACCTCCAGATTCTAGACTAGTGTTATTACTACTAGACTTTCGTTCGTTATTTATATGTTATTTTATTTGTATTTCAAATTTGAGAAGATTGTTGATTTTCTAAGTTCAACCTAGCTTCATCTATCCCTTGCATAAAGAATAAATAGGATTTTTTTTATACCAAAACTGCCATAGCTAAACCCTCTGCCTTTACTGCTGAAGAGGGGAGAAACGGCGGCGTCTCGGTGGAGATGAGTAGTTGGTTTGGGGAGATATCGTTGAACGTTATCTTGAGGATGATAGCTGGGAAATCCGTCGGGTACTTGACGGGCGGAGCGGACAGCGTGAAGCTGAGCAAATTGTTGAAGGAATTCTTTGAACTGACGGGAAGGTTCGTGGTGGCCGACGGGCTGCCGTACCTGCGGTGGTTGGACGTCGGAGGGTTCGAAAAGGCGATGAGGAAGACGGCGGGGGAGATGGATGTCGTGGTGGAAGGGTGGCTGAGGGAGCACAAGGCCAAAAGAGATTCCGGCGAGGCCGCGGAGACGGAGAAGGATTTCATGGACGTGATTCTTGATGCCGTCGGCGACCGGCAGGATATCGACGGTCGAGATTCCGCCACCTTTAACAAAGCTACGTCTCTTGTAAGTACTGTGTCCTGTCGTTCTCAATTCTCATGCATTTTACGATTCAAATTATTAATTTGTGGGACCAAATCTGGAATCTTGAAAGACGACATTGATTCATCATAAAATATATTTTAAGACACTTTAATTTAATTTAAAACAAGCTCTATTTTCACGAGTTCAGGTATCTGCAATTGCATGAGTACCATTGACTTTATCGATATAATTATAAATAATTCTTCTTACACTCGTATTCGTATATATTCATAAATATAACATCCATAAAATATCTCTCATAGTTTATCAACATTGAGCTAGCTTTCTTTTCCTAAATGAATAAATATAGCAATCTCAGTTTGGCTTCAATATTTTGATTGTTTTAGGTTTTCAATTTCAAATGTGTATGCAATACGTATTATATGAACATTTATGTTATCCACTTATACAATTTCGGATGGCAAAAATGACCCCAAAATTTAGGTATGGCTCAACCCAACTTATTACGGGTGGTAATGTTACTCTTGTATCCATACCTAGTTTTATTTATTTATTTTGAATCTAAATTGGACCCATTGAATTGGAAGTCCAAAAGAAAATGAGTGTCCTTTGTAGTGTAATTTTTGTCTTATTCTTTGTTATGAAGCAAATATAAAGGCGGAAACACCTACACTAAATGTGTATAATTGTTCAACGAATAAAATGAGTATAATGGGGTTAAAACTAGTTGATGAAATGGTTGATACTGTATTTGTGTATACAATCATCTAGACTCAGTTAGACTCATTTTCATCTATCCCTTATGAATTGACCCAAATACGTCCTAAATTCTAACTCAAATAAACTCCAAACCATTTAAAATGCATATGGGTCCATTTGGGTCTGATCCAATACTCATATGTGTCATGACAGTCAGATCAAATTACCCAATGAGTAGACTCATTGTAATGTGTAGACACGACCAATTATTATAACTCTAGTCATTAATATCCAATGAGTCAATTAAATTCCGATTTTTGTTTTGTTTTCTAGAACAGTTTGAAATTAGATAATTTAAGTTTTTCAGTTTATTATATTAAAAAAAAATTTGGACCACATCAATTATTACATTAACTTAGAAATTTGGATTGGATGATTCATACCTACACTACTCTGTCTTGTAGTGATCAGGTCTCTCTCGTACTCAAGGTTGTTAAACCCCTATCGAACCCCCCGGTTGGACCCGGTTCAACCCGAGTCGGGCTTCAAAACAGCCTCCAGAAAACCCCCCGGTCTGACCCCTAAACAGGGAGAAGAAGAGAGGCAGAAGAGAGGAAAAGGAACGAAGGAAGGGAATGGTAGGTGGATCATGGAGGTTAGGTAGATTTATTTTGTTGAAAATAAGTTTTTAATAGATATATGTAAGATAAATTTTATTTCACTCATTAAATTTTTAATTACTACTTTATTTGTATATATATTTAGAAAACGTCTAAAACAGCTCAAACCGGCCGGACCCCGATGAGACCATTAAACCTCAAACCCCTTGATTGACCGGCTCAATTACTTAAACCGGTTTGACAACCTTGCTCGTACTCATTTAGCTTGTCCTCTCATTTTATACATTTTGTCATTTCTGAAAAAAAGCTTGCTGGTGGACCAAATCAATGATATGAATTTGTACTTCACTTGTCGCCTCAATATCTAGTAGACTCATAGACCTAATTAAGGATACCACTGTTTGGGAAAAAGAACTTCCCGTGACAAATAAACCACATATAGTGACGGAAGTGGTCGCAAGGAAAGCACTGCATGCGCATATACATACAATGTAATTTTGTTCAATTCATCACATTCCAGGGCTTTGTATTAGCCGCTTCAGACACAACCATGGTGACAATGACCTGGCTCCTCTCTCTGCTAGTGAACCACCCCGACGTCTTGAAAACAGCTCAAACCGAGCTAGACAACCACATCGGCAAACAACGTCGAGTTCAAGAATCCGATCTCCGCAACTTGGACTACCTCAAAGCCATCGTCAAGGAAACCCTCCGTCTGTACCCTCCCGGGCCGATCTCCTTGCCCCACCAATCCATTGAAGATTGCACCGTGGCTGGCCGGTTCGTCCGTAAAGGAACACGGCTCATCGTCAACATATCCAAGATCCAGCGTGACCCAAGGGTCTGGCCAGACCCGGGCGAGTTTCGACCGGACCGGTTCCTCACGACTCACAAGGATGTTGACGTGAGGGGGCAGGATTTCGAGCTTATACCTTTTGGTAGTGGAAGGAGGATGTGCCCTGGCGTAAATTTCGCGCTACGGGTTATGCACTTGACCCTAGCTACGCTCTTGCATGAGTTTAATTTTGAGAGGCCGGGTAGCGAACCGGTTGCTATGACGGAGGGTATTGGGCTTACTGTCCCTAGAGCAACTCCTCTTGATGTTTTAGTGTCTCCCCGCCTGCCTCCTCATCTGTATGAGTGAACCGAATATAATTATTAGGTATTAATTTCTCAATTCTATTTGAACGAATCAATGTGTTAGTCGTTAATATCATTGTTGTAAGCATGCTTATTCTCTATAATTGTTTCAAGTTCATGTGACTTATTATGTATTCAATAAATAACACGGTGAATTATGTGGTGCTCAGAGTAATTGTTGTTGATGAATTTTAATAGAGGAAAAGTTTCCTCCCCCGTCACATTATTTCCTGCTTATATCCAGCATCATAATCCCATCGATAAGTACCTCAAATCATCATATATGCATATAGGAATTCTATGATAGAAACCTATTTCTAGGATTCTATCGATTGTGATGGATGATTGAGAATTTAGGAATTTGGGGATAGAATTGAGGAAGAAAAAGAAAAGAATAAGAATCGGCCGAAATCTTGGATTAGGGAAGAAGAGAAATTAGAGGATAGAGAGAGCTTAGGGTTTGGAAAGATTATTCTTTGCTTAATTTCTGCTTAATTGTACAAAATACCCAAGATACATATTTATAGCTAAATACCACAAACCTAATAGACTTTCCTAATGTGACTCAAAGACTACTAACCATATCTAAATAAATCCTAATAATGTGATTATGATAATTATGATAGAACCCTAAAATTATGTTTCTATCATCCCCTCTCCCCTTGAGACCAACCTTTCCCTCAAGGTTGATCCACTCGACCCACCTCTCCACATCGTCCGTGCAAATCTCACCTTTACTTCCCATTTCTTGCCTTCCTTTTCTTCCAATCACGCTCTAACTCTTCACTTGGTCTTCTAGCATTGATCTCCCCGTGTAGGTCCATCACTTCCAATTTCATTTCCATGAGCCCACTATTCTCTTCTATGGCAAGGTCAAACTCTAATAGCAATCCTTTCGCTGGCATCATGCTCCAGGAGCTTAATGAATCGAAATGTACTTTCTCGTGCAAGAACCCATCATTAAGTACCAACTCATCAAGGCCTTCAAACTTCCTTCTTGAAGCTAGTCCAATCACTTCCTTTGTTATTCTTCCCCTTATTTGTGGGTCATGTTCCTTTAAAAGCCCACCAGCTAAGCACATAAACCCACCTTTCCTTTTCTCCATGTCAATCTTCAAATCATAGGCCACGTTGAGCTTAAGCCTTCTCGGCCAACACGGTCCACTCTCTTCTATTTGTGGCTCAAGAGCATACAAAAGAGACTTTATGAGACAACCCAGCAGAGGCCCACAACCTGCCTGAAAATTTGGCCCGTTGCTTCCTTTAGCCCAGCTTGCCTGTCTTTTGCTTGCCGTAGACCCAATCACGTGCTCGGATCAGCCCAATGTAAACCCACTGAGCTTCTTATTCAAAGCCAGCCCGCGACCAAGACTGATGGCTTCGACCCGGCCCGCTCCATCTACCCTCTCCAGATCGGCGGCCCTAGCAATTTGGCCCGAAGGAACAGATAACTGTTTGTTTGAGTTGGGGAAAAATTTCGAACTAGGATTATCGACAAGAGGGCCGCCACCGACCTCTTCCTCAATCGCCGCCAGATCCCTCGACGGTCAAGAAACATGCCCTCCTCCGCCGCACGGGTCCCTCGCTCCATTGTTCCCTCTGGCTTCCGACACGGAGCCTTTGTCATTGCCTCGGAGAGAGCTGCATCATCCGCCCTCAATTTGTCTCCCAATATCTAGTGATCAGTCCCCTCTCCTTCATTCTTTCCCTCTTCCGGTCCCCGGCGAACCACCCGATCAGGCTCCCCGTCACCGATCACCTTATTCCTTCCTCCCGATAAGCAATTGCGCCGGTGGTTGAGAGTTGAGGTAGCTGCTGGCCGACTTGTCTTCCTCTCATCGTCGTTCGACGTTGCATCTAACGTCGATACTCCTATGGAAGTCAACCTCCAACCCGAGACAGCAACTGGAACTCGACCTCCATGCTCCGCCCTCTTTTTTCGCTGCCGCCGACGATTGTGACGCAACCTACATGGATCTCGAATCCAGCAAACCTACTCGGCGACCCATCGTTTGATGCCAGGACTTGTCAGTCGCACGATGGAAGCCCTCGCACTGGGTCCTTTCCCATGCATCTCCGGGCTTGGCGGCTTCTTCTTCTTGGTCTCGTTCTCCGACGACGAGCACTTCGCCAGGCAGTGGGAGGTAACCTCCAAAGCCATGCTGCTCACCCACAACTGTTTCCCCCAGACGACCGACGATGTGGAGGATGGGCGTGCCAATTGCCCAATTTGCGACTCTGGTGGGGCAGCCCAATCGCCGGCCGTCGTTTCTACCTTGCCTTATCTTTCCATGCCGCTATGGAACTCTCCGGATCTTGAGAGGATCCCTAAACTTTTGGTTGGAACCCTGGTCACAATGGATGGCGAGTGTGGAGATCCATTGACATCGGCACCCATTTGGCGCGGTATCAACATCTTTTTCCCATTCCACGATTCGGTTCGTCTTCAAGGCCATCCCCCGGAGATTGTTTCTTCTTGCGGTACTTCCAGCCACCATTTCGAAGTACCGGTGGATTTAGAGTTGATCTGGTAGCCTAGAATAGGTCAATGGCAGCGATTGAGATTTGCGTCCTCTGGTTAGCAGCAGCGGTCGATTTGGTGGATGGTGGTGTCTTGGACGCCCGTAGAGGCTCCGAGGTAGCAACAGCGAGTGCTGATGGTGTTGGCTCGACTTGCCGAGGCGAGTCTAGGGCTCGTTCGAGCAGCTTTGCCATCCCACGCGCCTCCCAGTACCATCGGTTAAGGGTTTGATGTAGCAGTTCCAGCGATCAAAACCATTCTTGATTAAAGAGCTTTTAGGAGCTCATTCTGGCTCTTGATTGAGATGCAGATGGCCCTGGTTGAGAGTTTTGAAGAACTGTTCTCGAAACCGGGCTCTGATACTAAATGATAGAAACCTATTTCTAGGGTTCTATCGATTGTGATGGGTGATTGGGAATTTAGGGATTTGGGGATAAAATTGAGGAAGAAGAAGAGGAAAAGAATAAGAATCAGCCAAAACCTTGGATTAGGGAAGAAGAGAAATTAGGAGATAGAGAGAGACCTTAGGGTTTGGGAAGATTATTCTTTGATTAACTTTTGCTTAATTGTACCAAAGACCCAAGATACATATTTATAGCTAAAGACCATAAAAACCTAAGAGACTTTCCTAATGCGTTTCAAAGACTACTAACCATATCTAAATAAATCCTAATAATAGTAATTATGATAATTATGATAGAACCCGAAAATTAGGTTTCTATCATTCTACGGTGTCGGGAATGTACCTGTGCCGTCGAAAATCAACCGGTTGTGGTCGTTGGAGTCCACCCTTCTACGTTCTTTGTTTCTGTATTTGCCAGTTGCTATTCTTGGAAACTAGCTTTTAACCCGGCCCATTGGCCGGAACTTTTATAATTTTAATTTTTAGTAAATTGCACTTTCAATTGATTGATGCAATAACAAAATGGTTCTCATATAGTTTTTACTATAGTATATAGTATAGAATTTTTAATTTCAGCAATCATTTTTTAAGTTAACTTAGATTATGAAATTGAAATTAGTATTTGACAATAAAAATAAATAATCTTGTCAAATAATTCAATCTTACAATCACATCATAAACAAAACCCTCAAAAAAAAAAAAAAATATTCCAGCATTAATCCTTAACTCTCAACTCAATTATTTGGCAAGAACACATTAGTTTTTAGGTTATGCAGTAATTACCCACCGATTGCCTGCATATAATATATAAAGCTCAGAGCCCAAATTTTTGAAAACTCTAAATAAGAAAATGGTTCAAAAAATAATTATGATAAATATTTTTTAAAAATATATTTATCTGATTTTCATCATAAATCTAAACCTCAAATTTGAATCCAAGTAAATATGTCTCTATTAGCTTATACATATTCTCTTTCAGCCTATACGATTAACCATATGTCTTCAAGTTAATACATTAAAAATATATAGTCAAAACTATCAATTCCCTAATTCTTAACACTAAAATCCACTATACAACATCATAAGCCCAAAATATGTGAATATGAAATAATTCAAATAATTGTTAGGTTCAACTTAGTAAATGTATGATTGTGGTGATTTCTTAGGAACTAAATGGGATTAATATCCTTTCTAATTAATAAAGCTAATTTTGTCAACCATACATTTACTTACATCTTAATAAACCTCAAACCAAAAGAATCTTCCTTGCATAAAGTGACCTCAAAACAAATCAATAGCAATTAAGCAAACAAGTTTATACCTTAACATCTAGCTACACAAACTTCTTCAATATCTCTATCTCAAAGTTTGTGGCTCTAAACACTAACCTAGTTGATTAATTCCAGTCAGTCTAATCCAATAAATTCAACATAGTTGTAATCATTGAAATAAACTTTTGCATACTTTAAAATGAAATTTGTTACAACATCAATTGTTACTTCAGGCACCAAAAACTATCAAGTAAATTGATGCTATGCAAATACCTTCAAAATATAAATTTATACCATGATAGTTCACAACTAATACTGTGCTGGTATAATCTCATTCCCACATTACCACTAGGTCAATCCTGGGGTTTGATGAGCACATGTTCAGGAGAATTAAAATATTTTATTTTAAACATATCATAATTAATATCTTGAATAAACAATTTCCCTTCCGGCCTTCCTTCGTCCAGGAAACGGAAAATAACGACTACGGCATCTAAGGCCACCAGACCCCGGAAAAAACGACGTCGTTCGAACAGACTGCCACCAACACCAAGCTCACCTCTTGAGTCTTGACCGCTGATCTTCCCTTCAGTCGTCCTTAGCCGACAACAACAATTTTCGGCCGTTAAACCCTGAATCGACGGGGCATCCTCCGATCTAGCGATCTATCGATCCATCACCAATCTTCATATATCATGCTCTATTATATTTCCCCTTATCCAGCCTTTCGTTGGTTTATTGATTAGTTGTTTGAATCTGATTTCTTGATTCATTAATTATCAACTTTCTTTGTTCTTTCATTTTTAGATTATATCACAAATTTATGTTGCTTTTAGTCAACTTCTTCATTTATGTACCGCCCTCAGCTTGTGCTCTGTTTCAGTCTCTCTTCGCCGATGCGTCCTCATCGTAAGCTCTAAGTGCCTCTAACTGCCTTGACGCTTCCATCTCCTCTGAGTTGCACATCGGAGCTGCGGCATCGTCGGAGAGGCTTGACCTCATCGGGACTGCTGCGGCCTCCTCTCACACCGGGCTACCGGCTTCTTCCTCTGATTGGTGTGGCGGTGGGATAAGGATGAGCACTTTCGTCAAGCGGTGGGGTGGATTACTCTCATACAATTCTTGCCACGTACCCTTGTCACTTGACCATGCTTACGGGTGTGGATTTACATCGGCCAACAGTCTATGATGTCGATTAGTCAGCTTCGAAGCAAGAAACTGCACTTTTCGCGACAAATTCTATTGTGACGACATAAAATTCGTCGCATAAAATGTACATTTGCGACGAATATCATCTTTTCGTCGCACATTGTATCGACATTTAGTGGAAGATAGGCCAGATGTTTTCGCGACGAAATTTTATTTTCTGCGACAAATTCCTCCGTCGCAAAATGTTCGAAGACTTTTTGCGACTATTGTCTGTCGTCGCAGAATGTGTCTAGCTTATTTGCAACGAATGTCTGTCGTCGCAGAAAGTTTAATATATTATGCAACGACAATCAATCGTCGCAGACTATTGGGGATATTTTGAGACGATAGTTTGTCGTCGCCGAATGTTTTTGTGATATTTTGCGACGGTAACCTTTCGTCGCAGAAAGGGATTATATTTGCAACGATGATCTATCATCGCAGAAAGCTTGATCTTTTTGCGACGATCATTCTATCGTCGCAGGATGTTGTAAGATTTTTTTTTCAAATTATTGGATAGCGTATTTAGAAAGAAAATATGTATACTAATTATGAATTTATGATTATGAATTTTAGATTTTTTTTCACTTATCCGTTTCTGTGTTGAACACCAAATATTGTGCAATCTGACGACCTTTTATTGAATGCAAAGAGAGACTATAAATATGTTGATGTAATCCACAAAGATCAGACCACTATCAACGACTCCAAACGTCCACTAAGCTGATTTCTAGCTCCCACAACTAACTACCCAGCTGCAAAGTCTCAACAAACTGAAAACCCAGTTCAGGACCCAAATGAAACAATTCAAAACATGACTGACTAAAAACAATAAACAGCAAACGACACAGTTTTCACAAACACACAGACTCTTATTTGAACTGGTTCTTGGCGCCTTCTCTAATCCTGATGCCAACAGGATTCACTTCCAACATATCCTCCCCTGAACTGGACACTACTGATCAAGAGTATCAGTTCACATTTTCATTCCTTCTTCACTTCATCTCAAACTCGAAGAGACTGCAAACACCAAGCTTCCTTCTCAGCCTTTGAAAGGACTCCAGACCCAGAGCCTTGGTCATAATATCTGCTGCTTGTTCTTGTGTTCCACATTGCTGCAATTCCACTACTCCCTCCTTCACCAACTCTCTCAGGAAATGAAACCTAACCTCGATGTGTTTGCTCCTACCATGCAAGACTGGATTTTTAGACAGTTTGATGGTGGAGCTGTTGTCACACAGAATTGCAGTGCTCCTTTCCACACTTGTCTCCCAGCCAATCTCATTCAGTACCCTTCTTAGCCACACACATTGAGTGGCACAATACGCAGCAGCAACAAACTCAGCCTCAGTGGTTGACAAAGTCACCACTGGCTGCTTCTTGGAAGCCCAGGAAACAGCTCCTCCTGCTAAGAAAA